TGATGGATAACAGGGATGAACCTGGAGGACATTAGGTGAATGAAATCAGTTAATTACAAAATGGAAAATAATATATGCAATCACTATCATAAAAAGGCAAGAGAAGGTTTTCATCCTAAAGAAACCTTCGATGGTTGCCAGGGGCAGGAGGGGGCTGGAGAAAGGGGAAAACACAGGCTGGAGGGTGGATAGGTGCTCGCTCGAGTAAAGGCATCTACAAATGAGGTCATACGGCGCTGGGTTTATCTCTGTTATATTTCATCACAGTTAGTAGCCACTTTGACTCTGGTATGTTTTTTGGTATATGAAACCCAGGATGGATGAATCTATAGACAAGAACTAGAAGAAAGTTTCCAGTGGGAGAGGTGGGGGTGTGGTGGTGGTGAGAGGGAGCCTTCTAAGCCAGCAGCCAGGTGTCTCTCTAGCCCACAGCCTCTCAAACATGTGGGCTCCTGGCTTCTAGCTCTGCCGCATGGTCTCCATTCCAGGGTCTCTGCTGCCTCTGGTCTCAACCGCCTCAGACAGAGATCTCAAACTACTCCCCTGGTGATCCTCCTCCTTTGCTGGTCATGGATTTCTCGGCTCCTGAGATGGTTTTCATACACAGAGGAATGGCTTAATGGGGATGTGGTTTTGGTCTTTCAGCAGACCGATCTCCAAGGAAACAGAGGTAGTACCTTGAGTCACACCTTCTACCTTAATCCTGTTACAGAGAACTCCCTCCCAAACAGGATTATAACCACAGATGGATTTACAGTCCATCACAAAAGGGATTACGGCTAAAAGGGCCCTATTAATGGTCGAACATCTCAAGGGGACTGCAGGGGATGAGTTGAAACAAAATGAGTAGGAATCGCTGAATGCTAAAACTGATGGATTGTTCTGTAAACATCAAAATTCATAATGAAAAAAGTTTTAAAAAGTAAAGATTCAGAATACATAAAGAATAGGAAAAAGCCCCACCTTCATTCACAAAAATAAGTTTCATTTGCATGATCCTCTGGATAATTACCTGAATCTTATCTTTAATTGTAGATGTTATAAAAGGTTTCTGACACCTGAAAAGGGAGGCTGTCACTCTGTGTGGGAGAATGTTCTGCTAGTGGCCTGCGTGGGAGTGGAGAATGTATTGGTTTAAAATTAGTACAGATAAAAGAATAAGAAGAGGGGGCTATACGGATGAGGGAGGAGATAGGATGGAAAAGCAAGTAACATCTACACCGACAGAGTAAGTATGGCATGAAGATCGTGGCATAAACTACCGACAAGTTCACCTAAAATGGTGAACAAACAAACAGAATTCCAATCCAATGCCATACTGTCGATCCTAAGTTACAGCAGTCCCATGGGACTGAGGAGAGCTTTGCCATGGGATTTCCAAGGCTGGACGCTTTAAGGAAACTGACGGCAACATCTTTCTCTTTCATAGCAGTGGGTGGGTTTGCAATGCTAACTTTTCTGTTATCAACCAAGCTCTTAAGCACTGTACTACCAAGGCTCCTTCAGCACGAGTACATGGACACCAAGCCTTAGTGTTCTGTGTAATCTTTCTGCCTGCAGTAATTATAGGCTAGTCTGAGGATGTGTGAGTGTATGTTAGCTCAAAAAGCACGGGTCTACGCGTACAAGGGATTTACTATTTACACAGACCCCCACAGAGGGCAATGGATGCTAAGTTTTCAGGTTGGGACTGACAGTCGGTTGGGTGTCAACAAGAGGAAGGGTGTGGGGACACTTAAGGCCTTGAGTGGCTTCTATAAACTAGGCAGCTTCTATATAAACTTGTGAGGAAACTGACTGGGACTTTTAAAAGAGACTGAATCTTTTCTTTTTCTTAAAGACTTAATTCTTAAGTCTCTCCAAAGACCCCCTTTGGAATTACCGATAGTAGAGAAGCTAAAACACCCACATGACTCTGCTATAAAGGGAAATAAGACTCTACATCTTGGTCTGGTTTTCTCATATCTACTTATCGTGAAAGAAGCAGTGAGTATCAGGTTTCAATTTTAGTGCAGATTCAAAAAGCATTTGTCAGATATAAACATTGATTTTGTCTTTTTTCTTTTTTTGAAGTTTTTTTAAATTGTTTTATCGGGGGCGCGTACAGTTCTTATCACAATACATACATACATCCATTCTGTCAAGCATGTTTGTACATTTGTTGCCATCATCATTTTCAAAACATTTTCTTTCTACTTGAGCCCGTGGTATCAAATTAATGTCCCCTGAGTTTTGTTGTTGCTAAAAAGTCCTTGTTAGTCTGTGTCTGTGGGGCAGAAAGTAGTATCTTGTTTTGCTTCCCTACTCCCATCCCTAGGGCTTTCTCCTTCGGACATCGAAGCTTGAAACCAAAAGGACACAGAACAACAACATCTCAAAACATGTCTGTATTCAAGACAGCCCAAAGCCGTAGTCTTCTGTGTGTTTGGTTAGAAAGTCACGAAGAGAAACCCCGCCTTCACCCTCCCTGAGCAGTCTGCTGGAGACCGCACTGAGGGAGGATTACGACAGTGCCAGCAGAAATCCTGGTAATCACAGAGGCCGGCTGCAAATGAGCACCGCCTGAAGCAAGATGCTCTGACAGCTTCTAGCAAGAGTTACTAGCTGAGAAAGGACAGGTAAACTGAATGGAAAAGTAGTAGTTTTATGCATCCTCTGGGGTGGGGTGGGGGGCTGAGTACTTGCCCCAGGTAGTATTTCTGCTTGTATTTGTCTTTGTTCAGGCAGTTTCTTCAGCCAGTAAATAAATCCATTATCAACTCCTAACATAGACAAATGGATATATCACATCTTATGCATCCTGCCCTGCCTGCCCAGGCAGAATAAACCACTTCTGTCTCTAGTCACTGGGCTGTGCTGCTGAGCCATTCCAATTCAAAGTGACCCCACAGAACTGCCCCACGGGGCTTCCCAGGCTGCACACACCTGGGAGCAGACTGCCAGGTATTTTCTCCCCCAGCAGCCGGTGGGTTTGAACTTCACTTAGCAACTGACCATTGTGCCACCAGGGTTCCTGTATATAGCACACGCCACTCTCGACTTTGGTAACCATGATAAGGTGACCGGACATCCCGCTTTTGGCAGGGCAGTCATGATTTTTAACAATTTGTCCCGTGTCCCGTGGCGTTTTTAAAAAGTCCCGATTTTTGGAAAGAATGCACGACAAGCTAGGGTATACGGTTTTCGGCTGCCATGTGGCTATTTCGCCAGGATATAAGATTTATCAATGGTGTCCCGCTTTTGCCCCGCTTTACCAATGTTAAAATCTGGTCACCTTAATTATGATCGTGGAAAGGCTTGTCTGCCCTGCCAGTCTGAGCTCCTGGTTGGTGGAGACTGTACTTTATTCCTCTCCAGCTCCTCTGGCACATAGTGACCTTCCTTTTCCTAGTAAGGGGCCTGAATACGCCCCAGCCGGAGCTACTCCCATATCAAGACCAACAGGGGAAGCAATCGAGAAACAGTGTACAAGGTAAAGGGTAGAGTAAATCAGAGGTTCGGTTACAATGTTTCCACATTCGCCTACAGAGTCTATCTTCTATTCGTTCACTCAAATCTCAGGGACAAAGCAACACTATGTGAGGGAACTGAGTAACAAATAACGGTTCAGAAACAGGCTCGTGAAGCAGGCTGCCTTTCCCAGGTAATGACCCTCACTCCTTCCCACGGAGTCAGTGCCGACTCATAGTGTCACCACAGGACTGGGTAGAACTGCCCCTGTGAGGTTTCTGAGACTGTTAACTCTTGACAGGAGTAGAAGCCTCATATTTCTCCCATGGAGCAGCTGCTGGTTTCGAACTGCTGATCTTGCAGATAGCAGCCCAACACTTAACTATGACACGAGGGCTCCGGGCTATGGCCCTAACGAAATCCATTTCTCTCTGAAACTTCAGGCCCTTATATGAAAATGACAACACCAAATGAAAAGATTAAAAATAAAAATTAAACTTGCAAATATATGTGGAAAGTGCTTTAATAGTAAGTGAAGTAGTTTAAAAAGTGCTTTTAGATTAAAAAATGCATACACATTTTGACTGAAAGTACATAACTACATCTTACTCAAACAATTAATGAAGGGTAAATATGCAAAGAAAATAATTATATAGTTAAATGAAACTATGGGGAGTTTGCACCAAAATGTCTTAATTATTACTATGTTTCAATTAAAAAAAACCCTCAGGTAGAGGCTGTACAGGACTGACGTAACGATTAAACATATGAAAGATCTTACAAACTCTACAGCAGTTTATACTGTTAGTAATATCTGAAGCTAGTCATGATTATTACCATGGTAACTGGAAGTAAAATTATTTCTGAAAAATAATATTAGGGGCATCCACACCTTTTTAGACTGTGGGTATACTGAGGTTTCAGACAAGGTGGACCTAATTTATACAAATGGATATTATTCTTATTATATATGCACACATCCTGCACGTACGCATACATACATACACCTACTACACCTCCTTCAGGAACTGCCAAACTTAACCAACAGGGCTAACACCTTGAGATAATCTCCTATCCTTTTTAGGAAACTCAAAGCATAGTCCTCTCTATGGCCTCCCTCAGAAGACATGAAGTCCGTGGTCTCCATGACAAACAAGGCTTGGCTCGGAGGAGAAGGTGAGTGGCCCGCTGAGTTGATGGGGGCCAGCACAGAGCTAGGAAAACCCTGGTGGTATAGTAGTTACACGTTGGGCTGTGAGCCAGCTGCATGGTCAGCAGTTCAAAACCACCAGCAGCTCTGTGGGAGAAAGACTGGGCTTTCTATTCCCATAAACAGGTACTGTCTCGGAGACCCACTGTGAGTCAGCACTGACTGAATGGAACTGAGCGAGAGAGCCGAAGAACACTGCTTAGGCATGCAGACCATCGCCTCTTCCTAAATACCTAAAACTGCTGCTGAGTTTTTGAAATCTCATCACTATGGATATTGCAGGTAATCCTAAATTGTGGGAAAACATTAAACAAAGATTCATACACTGTTCTATTCTTACCCCTTTTCCACACTGTCATGGACTGCTGAAACCACAGCTTCCAGGACTTGGAGGGGGTCCCGTGACCCACCAAGGTCAGCACTGGCTCCACTGCGAAGGGAGAGAGCAAAGAAGTGATTCAGAAGGGTGTCACACAAACCTGAGCTAGACACACACAGTGTGTGCACTACGGTAAACCCTGCGGATGTTGGCAAACTATAACCCCAGCTCGTAGCTCTCATGCTGAATGTGGTTCAACTGAAGCCATTGGTGGAATTCTTCAATTTCTTCATCCGTAGTTTTAGTGTTAGTGCTTAAATCTGAATAAGAGTTGTACTGACTGGATTTCCTTATACGTAGATACATATTATCCTATTACAGACAGTGTTGTACTTCAAGATACAGTCCTATGATTCATTACTATTTCACAACGTGTGTACCTGGAACATTAATGAATTCTGAATATGCAGCAGAGGGAAACAACATTTTAGATTTAGAAAAACAATTTCATTTCTATTACTTAAATCAGTTGCTTGGTTCAATTAGTGACAGGCCTCTCTTACTCTGTGCCTACAAGAAGTTAACTGGCTCCTAAAAGGTCAATGTTATAATGTCGGTAGGAGCGTTTTGTTGTTGTTGTTGTTGTTTTTCTTTAAGAGGTAGGTGAACCTCTCTCCCACAACTGAGTGATTTAATTCACATTTATGGAATCTTCTGTATACAGAGCAGATGTATATTAGACCAGAATTACATATTTAATGACAGAACTGTATGTAGGGAGAGGGTGTTTAATTTGTCAGCATTTTCTAAGGGTAAGAATATCACTTGCCATATTTTATTATAATTAGCAAGGAAAATGTGTAATTTTTAGGAAATAACCCAAATTCATCTAAGCACAAACCTTTCAAAATGTTTCTCTTTTTTGGTGAGTTTAAAAAGGATAACAGTAATTAAGAAATATATATAAAATGTGGCAAACAACTATGCATTAATCTGAAGAGGAGAGCCATTCTTACAACCACCAAAGGACAGTATTTTCTAACATGTGGCATTTCTTCTTTCTAAAACATTGCATGCTATTTCATGTCTCTTTCTATGTATAAATTTTCAAGTGCCTCCGAGCATTAAGTGAAAAGCGTACAAGGCTGGGGTAATTACACTGATAAAAGCTCATTTGATTTCAGTTCGGCTGCAGAAAACTGACATGCATTTAATCAAAAAGTTCCTCAAGAGCAATACAGAATTACAAAGAATGCTGAAAAGGAGAATAAATTAAAAGCAACTAAATCTTTTAGCCTAATTGCATTATTCACAGAGACTACTTGATTCCTCGTTATTTTCTTTTTTTTTTTTTTAACATTTTATTAGGGGCTCATACAACTGTTATCCCAATCCATACACACATCAATTGTGTAAAGCGCATTTGTACATCATTTCTCAAAACATTTTCTCTCCATTTAAACCCCCGACATTAGGTCCTCATTTTTCCCCTCCCTCCCCGCTCCCCCCTCCCGCATGAGCCCTTGATAGTTTATAAATGGGTATTTTGTCATATCTTGCCCTGTCCGACGTCTCCCTTCATCCACTTTTTGGTTGTCTGTCCCCCAGGGAGGAGGTCACACACAGTTCCATGTAATTGGTTCCCTCTTTCCTGCCCATTCTCCCTTTACCCTCCCTGTTTTGCCACTCACACCACTGGTCCTATAGGGCTCATCCGTCCTGGATTCCCTGTATTTTCAGTTCCTATCTGTACCAGTGTACCTCCTCTGGTCTAGCCAGTCTTGCAAGATAGAATTCGAGTCATGGTAGTGGGAGCGGGGAGGAAACCTTTAGGAACTAGAGGAAGGTTGTATTTCTCATCATTGTTACATCGCACCCTGACTGGCTCATCTCCTCCCCGAGACCCCTCTACAAGGGGATCTCCAGTGGCCTACTAATGTGCTTTGGATCTCTACTCTGCACTCCCCCCATCATTCACTATGGTAAGATTTTTTGTTCTGATGATGCCTTACACCTGATCCCTTCGACCTCGTGGTTGCATAGGCTGGTGTGCTTCTTCCATGTGGACTTTGTTGCTTCTGAGCTAGATGGCCGCTTGATTACCTTCAAGCCTTTAAGACCCCAGACGCTATACTTTTTGATAGCCGGGCACCATCAGCTTTCTTCACCACATTTGCTTATGCACCCATTTGTCTTCAGTGATCCCTTCGACACCCCGTGATCACACCTCGTTGTTTTCTTAGCTTAACTTTTTACTCTTTTCTAATCCTTTTGGATGCAATCCTACCAGGACTCAAGCATATCAACACAAAATGAGAATGTCTCGCTTGTCAGCTTTAATGACTAATTCCAAGGAAACAATGTCCTAAACGGACACACCTTCTCCAGTGCAGGCCCCACCCTACCTGATGGGCTTCAAACGGAAGGGGAATGGCAGAAAAGGTGAGGCTGGAAAACCACAGTAAGCCACCAGGTCTACCGGCATTTACCTTCTTGACACTCTGGCTTTCCCCATAGCTCAGGGACAATTTCTTTTCTTTCTTATGGTGGATGGGGTGGGAAAGAACAGAAATAAGCTAATTTCCTAAGATGTTACACTTAAAACCAGTAGTGAAACATTTCCTGGATTGTCCATTTTAAAACACAAGACTCTGAGAACCCTAAATACCATTGCTCACTTTTGTAAATTAATCTAGAGCTCATTATATAATCATATGTTCAGGATAACCTTGACGCAGGCACTAATACGGGCAAAATCCCATCTCAGTTATTCCCTCAATGAAAACGCTGTTGCTTACTCACCTTAATGCCGAGATTATTTGCATTATGGCCCGCTGTACGACATCCCTGGGCGAGATATCCAGAGGACCAACGGCTACCTCTAGCAGCTGCTGAATCATTCGTAGAGGTTGACCATCTAAACACATGGCCACAGCTTGATCATAAAGCTTCCCTTTTTCTGAGCGAGACAGGTCATAGAGGTTACAGTATTTCTGCAGCGTTTCCTGGAAAGACATAGCATTCAACACTAGATATGAAACAGGAAATACATGTGTGCGTGTGTACATACGTACACAGTTTCCCCAGATTCTCAAACCACAGAACTCACAACCATGAAGGCCACACTCAAGAACACCCAGCAGTGAGGTTCTAGGTTCACCAGGACTGAACTCCAGTCTCTGTGTTTACCATTTAGTGTTGAGTGGTCTTTGTGTTCTCCAATTCCAGGCTCTGTAAAATGAGAATGAGGGCAGTCGGCGCTTGTGAATCGGCTAAATGAGATACTATACAAGTTGGCCGTTAGTACAGTATCAGGCACAGAGTAATACTGATTCAGTGCAAGTTTATTACTATTCATTATGAATAAACAAAGGCTGGAATCTATTCAGGGTCGTGTACACGAACCCCGGGTATTGTACGTTTACATGCAGTAGGCCACACCAATAGTTTTAATTAGCCTCATTTTGGGAGGTGATTTAAGATCAAAGATGTCAAATCGTGTGCTCTACATCCTATGGCTACCAGTGAAGAGAGCCAGTCACACTTGCAGAACCTAACCACGTCTGTCTTTGAGAAGGTCTCTGAAAACCAAATGTTAACAAAAATAACTTAAGAAATGGGGCATATATCATTGTTTTTCAGCATACCAAACATGGTCACTTTACAGTTTCCAGGTTCTTTACAATTTATCAAGTAATGCTGAATAGACTGCTTTGTCTCTGAAAACAACTATGAAAAAGTCTGAGCAATAATTAAATTTGTTGATATTAAAATTCAAACTCACTGCCATTGAGTCAACTGACTCATAGCCACCCTAAGGGACAGGATGCATTTCCCCTGTGGACTTCCAAGCCTGGAGCTCTTTGCAGGAGTGGAAAGTCTGTTTTTCTCCTGGGGAGCGGCTGGGGATTTGAATTGCAGACCTAGAGATTGCCAGCCCAAGGCCTACCATCATGGCACCAGGTGCACCATGAGGGCTCCTCTTATTGATACTAAAGAACGCTTAATTATTTTAAATGTATTAACATTGTAGGGGTTAATTAAAAATACACATATATGCATACGCGTGTGTCTGTGCATACACACATGCTTATATAGTATATTTATTAATGAAATGAAAGATGGTTAGGTTCTGCTTTGAAATAATCCACAGAAGTGGAGAGGAACCAGGCAAAGGTATGAATGAAATATAATTGGTATTGTGTTGATACTTGTTGAAGCTGAGAGTAGGACACATGGGACATTTTATTTTGAACTTTTAAATATGATCTGGGTGAAAGCTTACAGAGAAAATAGGTTTTCCACATATTTTGATTTGTGACATTGATCCCAATCCCCACACTGTAGCAGCACGCTTGCTACTTCCTCTCTGTGTTTACTGTTTCCGTTCGTCTTTTGTTCCCGTTCCTCCCTGCCTTCTGAGCTGAACCTGAACAAATGCTGTTTTTAACAAGATCTCCCATGGGGAGTTGTTTTAGGGCACATATACCTCCTTGGTGCAACTGTTCATCCGAGAGGCCTGGCTATAAGCACTCCCACTGTCCCGGGCCCAGGCCAGACTCAGAGTCCAGATGCCCTGTGGGTTGCCAAGGGCGTCGCTCTTGAAGGGAGCAGAGAGCCTCCTCTTCCCCCCGGGGAGCTGCTGATGGGTCCCTGAGAACCAGGATGGACTAGACAGCAGTGGGGTGAGTCTTTTGCTTGAAAAATGAGAGAAGTCATCACAAATGTTTATACTAATAAGCAGGTCACATTTACTAGAAAATTAAGATTTTGCCCTAGTTCTCAAAATTACAGAGAGCACATTGCAAATACCCACAAGATAAAATCAAGAGGGTAAACGCAAATCTGCTCCCTATAAAGACATCTGAGATGCTCAAACCTTATTGCACACTATTTCTTAGATAGGCTAATGGGCACTGAACTAGAAATTGAAATAAAACTGCTATGAAGCTTTTGAATTCTTCTCATTATGTGTTCAATGATGGGCTTGCATTTATGTGTCTCATAAAATTTCTGAAGTCTCCCATTCGTTCATTACTTGAACTCTGCACTGATTGTTCAAATCAGGTTCAGTACAATCCAGTTCTTAAGGATGGGAGAAAACTTTGGAAATAGACAATAGTTATGGCCGAGCAATATGATGAGTGTAATTAATGTTACTGAATTGTACAGGTAAAAATATTGAAATGGGAGCTGGATTATAGTTATATATATTTGCCATCATGAAAATGTCTAATATATTAACAACAAAAAATAATATAATTCAAAAATTATAGTTTCAGAAAAATAAAAGAGGTTAGTGGCCATTTATAGTTTCATTTGCCACAGCACAGGGAGCCCTGGGGGTCTGCCTTGTAGCAATGTTGGCAGTTAAAGCCCACTCACTGCCCTGAGTGAGAAAGATGATGCTAGTTGCTTCCTTCAAGATTTACAGCCATGGAAACCGCCACAAAGAGTTGTTAAGAACTGAAATCAACTCGATAGAAGTGGGTTTAGCATTAAAGGACATACACAGTATTGTTTCTATAGCTCAACAGGGCTTTCTCTACAGGCCCCCGCAAGGTTCTCTGGTCCATTTTGTCTCACATTCCTTTTATGAGAGACCTACATCATAAGAGGTTAAGGGAACTGTAAGAAATCCACACAGGATCTTAGTGAAGAACAAAACTGGCATCTGGCAGTGGTTTTACAACCAGTCTGTAAGGCGCATCGCATGCCATGACCCGAGCAGCCAGGTGACACTACAGCTCCTCCTGGAGTAGGACAGCTCACACTGAAGTCCCTGATTCACTCTGAACGGTCTCTGAGCAGTCCATGTTCATGGCAGCTTAGGCTTTGTGTGATATTTGGTGGTTTTCCCCATCTTAGTGTTAATTGCTTCTTCAATCGATGTCATTTTGACTTACGAAAGCTGCCACAGGGAGACTACTGTCAGGTGTGTGTGTGTAACCTGTATATGAAAACCATTTACTTGCTAACTGCCAACTTTTCAATTTTATAAAAGAATTAAAAATCATAAGTCTGCTCTAATACTGACCAAAATCATAAAACGCGACACAGGTCTTCAGGTTTCCATACACAGACTGAATCTATCAGGGCGCTTCAATGACCTTTAAACTCAGGAAGCCCGTGAAGCCCCCTTGCAGCAGCCCTCACACCTGGTGACAGACAGGGGCTCTGAAACATCCAGACTGTGCTTTGTGAGCTACAAAGAGGGGTTAAGATCACCCTACCCATTAGAAACAATTTACTAAGCAAAACACTCCTGTAAGTAATAAAGTTACACCAAGACCTTACAGCATAAAAACAAAATAAAGTGTATACATATTTTGAAAAAACACTGAAGCAAGGCATGAAGGTTACGTCTGGATTTTTTGGAAAATTAGGGGGAAACCACTACTCAATTATAGTGCAAACACCAGCCAGCTAGAATTAGGGCTTAAAAGAGAAAGCCGTTGTCATGTCCCAGCAGTGGAGACCCCCATCTGGGGCCCTCTCCAGGGTCTAACTCCAGCTAATCACTCCTCCTCAGCTCCCTGGCTCACCCTGTCAGCTCGACCCCAATACCAACTGAGCTAAGTGACCTGAAATCCTTTTAAAAGGAAGGGAAAATGGAACCGACAATCCAGTGATAATGGAGAGCTTAAAGCACAACCGTCTGAGGACCTTTGTGAAGGATCTCTGTAAGCCTGAAACCCATCCTGCCTTTCACTGCGGGCTAGACCGGAGCATGTCCACTGGTACAGATGAGTGCTCAGGGCACACGGAATCCCGGTCAGATAAACCCCGCAGGAACAGAAATGGGAGTAGCGATACCAGGAGGGTAGGGAAAGGTGGGAAGAGGAGGAGAGGAATGGGGGTCACAAGGGTGGGCACATAACACCACGACCATCAACCCCCCACCCCCACCCCTGGGGCGGACAAACAACAGAAACTGTGGGGAAGGGAGCGAGTGGTTGTTGTAAGATATGAAAATAATACTAATTTATAATTTATCAAGGTGTCACGAGGGTGGGAGGGAGAGAGGGAAGGAAAAAGAGTAGCTGATACCAAGGGCTCAAAGTAAATGTTTAGAAAATAATGATGGCAACATATGAACATGTACAAATCTGCTTGATACAACTGATGTATGGGATGTTATAAGGCCTGTAAGAGCCCCCGATAAAATGATCTTTAAAAACGAAACAAAACATAAACGGTTGCCCTCTCCTTCAAAAGAGTCAATGATAGCACCTGCTGTTCATACTGAGTACTCGTGGTCACTGTTTACCTGCTCACTATTCTTCAGAGAGACAATGAAGCTATGGCTGAGGGTGTCCAGGTGGGCCAGTGACTTTTCCAGGTGACTCAGTGCATCTGCATAGGTAACTTTAGAATCACTCTTTTCTTCAGTGCCTTCTTCTAAATTTCTTTTCCTTGGCTTCTCAATAAAATGTTCGACTGTCTTAATAACTTTTCTAGTCATCTCTTTACGTGCTTCCACAGATAGCTTAAAAAAAAAAAAGAAAGAGAAGAGAGTATTAACAACTGCCTAGACAGGCCTAACATTATTGTAGATGTATAGTAAACAAATAAAATTTTAACCAATGAATATGCAACTTTAATCAATGAACGGGAGTCTTGTTATGCTAACTTTACTTTCATTAAGAACACCAACAATTTTTTAAAAAGAACAATAGTGTGATACTATTGTTACTATTAAATTAATAAGACTACATTTAAAAATCATGGAGTAATGAAACTAGTAGTTATACAGATTGTTGGTTACCATGAAAAAATTAGATTTCATTTCTACTACCATAATTTACAATTTGCAGTGCTCACTTCGGCAGCACATATACTAAAACTTATAGTTTGGATCATTCATTACAACTAAATAATTCAAAAGAAACAATTATAGGCATTCAGATTTTAACTAGAATTCAACTATAAAGGCAAAACTTCAAACTCAAAGTAATTGAACATAAAAGAAATGTTTATTAGCTTAAAGCAAATGACTGAGCATTATGCCATTAAGATAAAAACAGTATAGCAATTTGGAAAATGTTTATCATATAAAAGAATTAAATTAAACATGTGTTTATGACTAAAGATTTTTTTAAACACACACATAAAACAGGGCTGTCATCCTAAACAATTTTTATTTTCTAACTTTCAGAGTTTCTGTAAAGATGATGTATTCATTCAATCAATTATCGTTATGAATATGTGACAGGCACTGTGTTAGGCAAGCAGGGATTTTAGTTTTCTAATAAAATTTAAAATACTAAACTGGTCTTCAGGAATACAAAGCAAAGTTTATGCCCATTTTGGAGGAGACACCACATATCTCTCATCAATACTGTCCTAAAATATTGTCCCGGCACCTACAACTTCCAGGACACCAAACGAGAGACAATTCAAAACCAGTGGGGTGTGATACCACTCCAGGGACCGGATGGCAATTATCTTTCTTCTTGTCCTGGGGCTTCCAGCTCTCTGCTTTCCACCACATTTAGGAAAGATCTAATTGATCCGTAAGCTGATAAATGAGGAAAAATGCTCTTTAGTGGTACAGCTGGAGGGGACGCTTTCTCCACTGCTTAAAGGGTAGTTAGAGGATCAGGAGGCACTCACTTCTCTGACAAATGTTTTCCATTCTGTTCGATATACTCATATCGAAAAATGTAAACATATTAAATAAACCTGATTTTGAGCCATTTCAGTCTAGCAATATATAACAACAGAAATCTAAGGGCACAACAACTAACTACAAACAGCATTTAAAGCCCTGCTCACCTCATAGGATGCACATTTAAAATGTTTTACAGTGTTCTAATTAAAATTTATCAAAATTTAAAAATAGCTATGTTATATCAAATGTATCCTGAGAGAATTGAAGTAATTCAGAAAAAGTGTTTAAGAGCTCTGTAGGAATATGTACAATTTTAAATGTTAATTTCTATTTATATATTTTTGATGAAGAGAGACAATGTTTCACATAAAAGCATTGTGTTATGATAGAAAGCTATGACAGAAACAGTGGAAATAAAAGGAGATACGCAATCTTTCTGATTTCTAAGGATACCCTTCTTGGATTTTATAAATGAATGGTAAACATCAAATCATTGTTACATAGATTATTCTAGAAAGAAATAGAATTGCACGTTTTATTTTAAATATGCTGGGAATTACATTGTCCTTTGAAATCATTCACGATTGTGCTAAAAGTTTTAGATATCACGTGTGAGCGGGATAAGCAATCCCGATCCAAACCCAACATCATTCTTTACAGAAACGGGAAGTTCTCCAAAGAAGTCCACTCCCCACCCCCCTCCGTGCTACTGAGAAAGGATTCCACCACTTCAGGAGGGAGCATATGATCAAGAACTGATGGTGTCTAGGGATGGAGTTCAAGCTGCACTGAGACACTGGTTGAACAAGGCTCAGGATACCAAATGCAATGTTTCAACAAACAGAGGTGGCGCAGCGAGGGCACATGCTTCTGTGGCAGGATATCTGGAAGGCAGCCACCTGGCCAAGCAACTGGGAAAGCTCCATTGCCAGGGCCATTGCAACCAAAAGCAATCTAGTAGAAGGCAGGGCGATTTGGACAAAATCCTTAGTATGACGCACATGTAGACTTTGGTGAAGATACTATAAAATTGGTTGAAGCAATACAGAGAAATCCAAGCCAGGAATAAGATGTAGCACCAGGGAGCTGCTGTCATTAAATAAATCTTGACGGAAAGTAGAGAATACCAGAAGGAGGTTTACCTGGGTTTCATTGACTACATGAAAGCATTTCCCTGTGTGGCTGATAGATTGTGAAAATCATTGTGACGAATGGCAATTCAAAAACACCACTGTGCTCGTGGGGAACCTGCACAGAGACCAGGAGCAGTCGTTGGAACAGCCTGGGGAAAGTGGACTCTGAAGAAGAGCGTGGCATCAGGAAGGCAGGACGTCGCAGGAACAGCCTACAACATGCAGCTGGCACAACCTTGCATGCTGAGAGGGGGAAGGACATGAAACATGCACCGATGACGATGACAGACCACAGCCTTCGGTAAGGGTTACCCCTTCCGAAAACAAAGCTCACCCCAACTCCTAAGCAACAACACAATGACAAGAGACAAGACTGACGTTGGCAAAAGCTTCATTTTCCTTGGATCCACCATCATTTCCATGGAAGAGGCAGTCAGGAATCAATCACATTACATGAGGAAAAGTGCTGCAAAGGACATTGTAACGTTTATAAAGCAAAGGGGTCACGTTGAGGACTAAGGTGCACCTGCCTCATGGTTGTATTTTCAACTGTCTCATATTTATGAAAAAGTTGGGCAATAAATAAGGAAGACTGATGAAAAATTACTTCCTGTCCATTAGGGTGCTGCTGAGGTACATTAACTATACCCGGGGCTGACAGTGGAATGGACAAATCTGTCGGGGAAGGAGTGTCGGCAGCAGGTTGCTAGAAGTGCGAACGAACGGTCAGGTGACCTCATTTGCTGCCGGCGTCCCCGCAGGAGGACAGCAGGACTGACCCGATGGGATCACACACCCCCCCCCCCAAGACTCTGGCGAAATGAACACAGCCAACTCCTTAAATCCAGATTCCTAGCCTCTAGGATTGTAAAAGAACACAGCTTTGTTCTTGAAAGCCATGCAGCTTTCAAGCGCCTGTCAGCTAGCCCAGTAACTCTGAACCCGTATTGCCTACAATCACAGTTAGAATTACATTGTAAACCCACACTGGATGATATCATACACACAATCTATAACCAGATATTAGACGTAAACAAAAGTTTTAAGCAACAATGCAACACTATGTGAGATGCATTTTGATATTTTCTGCTCTAATCTATTATCTAGTGTTTTGTCTTTTTTTTTTGAAGCTGATGTAATGAGCTAAACTTATGGCAGGACCCATTAATCCATTTGCAACTCAGAGGCTTTACAATACCTGTGACTCTGCTCTCATGATGACGCGATGCCTTGCAGAGGCTGGAGCAAGTGACTTGAGTTATAAATAAGATATCAAGTTATCTAAATTATATTACATTCCATTCATTAAAAACGAATCACTTTCTTTCACTAATAGGATCTCGGCTGACCACTCCACTTTGTGCTACATGTATGTTTGCTTTATATGTATATATATATTATATTTTGAAGCCATCAGCACAAGCCCCATCCCTTAATTTCTTTTCTACCGTTATTGTTTAGTTTACCATATTGAGTACTAATAAAAATTTTACATATAGATTATGGGTCTTCAGTATATAACAAAATAATATAAAGTATTTAAACAAAGCTAATTAGATATTCAAACAATAAAAATGCATGTTTCATCATATTCATTTGTATGCTTAATCAAAACATCAACATTATAACATACTCTTTTCCTTTACTAGAAATTGCTTATATCATAAATATAAACAAGGTAGGCACAGAAGCTACTTATTTTTACCTTGCCTTTTGCCTGGGTCAGTAACCAGGGAACTAAAATGGCCTAGTTTGTTCACTGCTCACTGCTAGCAACGACATCAACTTGTGTATTACTAAGTGCGCAACAGCTTGAAGGTCACCTTGATCTTAGTGAAGAGGGGCACGAAGGCGGCTACAAAATGAATGAATGAAATGTGAGTGCAATCGGAAGGAAGCTGACTCTCCACCCGCTGTGATGGCGCACAGGCTGGACCACAGTTGGAAAGCATTTATCAGTTTCCATTTAAAACCCTTCTCTGCCATGTATGCAAGTAATACACAACACAAATGGCTGTTTGGAAGATAATTTCAGATCCACTGAATTTACAGTAAAGCTAAGTCATCACAGACAGAATGCTACAGAATGACTAAATTTAATAAACTGATTATTTGCAGTGGGTTCTAATGAACATAGATTAAAAATGCATTTCTATCCTATCTTTATCATATTATTTCTATCCTCTTTTTTTTTTTATTGTTCGCAAAATGAGAAAACAATTGGCAAAAACATCAAAAGCAATGATTGGTGTCCGAGGCCTATCACAAGTAGTTTCTCAACTCGACGACCCCCTTCTATAGATTCTAGAGGAGCCACGGGACAAAATGTAACTGACAGCAAGCTTTCCAGAAGTTCGGTGTAACCTGCTGAGCCTGCTGAAGACATCTCAAGCGCTCCTCCTCTGGCTCAGGATGCTCTAGCACACGGGTCAATCCTGGGCTTCCTCCAAAAGCTTTTTGCTACAAGTCTTACAATGTTGTTTGCTTCATCTAAAATCCTCCACTCAGATGGCTGTTCCTCAACCTCAAGGCCCTCACGGAAATGCCACAGAAGCAGAGATGCCTTCCCTGGCTCTTCTGTCCGCACTAGGGTCTCTGTCACCCTCCATCTTCTTCCCGCACTTCTCAAAGTCATAGCTGCTTATTTCTCCACACGCTGCTGTCTGTCTATGTCGACTCCATGAGATCAGAAACATACCCGTCTCACTCGATCGTCTTCTGTGGCAAGGTATTTTACTGTCC